CTCTGACTTGATTAGAATAGTGTTTTTGGTAAATGAGTTGCAGTTCCAGCTACTAACCACCAGGGGTTCTGACCCGTCCAGATCTCTCTGGACACGTCGTACTGGACCTTCGTCAGCTGCTTCGCCGTTCTGGGCAGCATCGCCATTTACTTCGGCATCATGTTTGACATCCACAGCGCCGGGATCCACGTCATCTTCCCCTCCGTCTTCACCTTCACAGGTCGGCTCTCTGGGCGTTTAGTCAGCGTCACTGGAGCCGCGTAGCAGAGTAACATGTTGAACTGTGTGTGTGTGTGTGTGTGTGTGTGTGTGCTGCAGGCGCGGCACCCAACGCCCTGCGGCAGCCCTACCTGTGGCTGACCATCATCCTGACGGTGGGGATCAGCCTGCTGCCCGTCATCTGCATCCAGTTCCTCCATAAAACCATCTGGCCGTCTGTGGGAGACAAGGTGAGAAACTCACCACGTCTTAAAGCTCAACCTGAGCGGAAACACTGCAGCTCACCCAGAGTGGCCCGTTTATAAATGTAACACCACAAAACCACCAACCAGTCCAAGAGTTTTCACTTATTTACAGATTCTGAAAATATGGATTTGAATCTTTTTCAGTGATGAAAAATTTATCTCAGAAATTTTTAGAAAAACTTGGAAATTTCTGACTTCAAGTAGTTAAAAATTTGTGAGAAAAAAAACTTTTTCAGATTAATCTGATAAATTTCCATGTTTTGGCTTTTGGGGCTCAGAAATGTCCTTGTATGTAAAAAATAGAAATAATTTGAGTTGTAAAAGTCACATTTTGACATTAAAATTTCTGGAAAAAACATGGAAATTTCTGACTTTTGTCAAAAATTTTCTACTTTCCAAACAGAAATTTCCACATTTTTTTTCCTCTCTGAAATTTCTGACTTTGGGGATCAGAAAACTCTTTTATTCTAGGAAATTTCTGAAAGTTAATCTCAGATGTTGTTTTTCTGTCTACACTGTAATTCATCACTGTGACGTTTTTAAAAACTGTAATGGAAACGTTTCTCGCATCATGAGTCATGTGACCGGATGTTACTACTGGCAGAAACAACAAAGACGACAAACAGGAAGTGGACGGGGGGTGATGCATTCTTGTTGTTTTAATAACTTATTCACATGTGATTTTAACTGTTTGTTATTTAATGGAAACTCTGATCTGCTTTTGTTTTGCATTTCCTCTCATCCTGTGGAAACTGTCCGCTGACTCTTTGTTTGATTTATCGGTTCTGTTTGCCGCCTGCAGGTCCAGAGGAACAAGAGTAAATACCTGCAGCAGGCGGAGGAGGAGAGGAAGAGGAGGAGCCAGGACGAGCCCTCGGCCTTCGTGAGAAACCGAGCTTCCCGCCGCTCCGCCTACGCCTTCTCGCACACGCCCGGCTACGCCAACCTCATCTCGAGCGGCCAGAGCATCCGGCGGCGCGCGACGGCACACGGCGGCGCCCAGGAGAGGAGGCGGCGGCCGGAGGTCGTCTGATCGGACGGCCGAGCGGAGCGAAGCTGCGGCCGGAGGATTTTATTTCTGCGGATGAGCCAGACAGGAAGTGACGGAGGAATCCCTCCCGGTCGGGCTTCGCTCCGAACTGATGACTTGAAAACACTCACCGAAGAGACGGCCGCCGCTGCCGGGGGTCAGAGGTCACCCGTGTGACTCACAATGTCGTTTAACTCAGGATTATTTTTAAATAGAGACTTATTTTTAGCAAGATGGCCGCCAGCGACTGACTCAAGCGGTTAGCGTTAGCGGCGTAGCCTAGCATCCACTGAGCACCTAGAGGAAACCAGCAGCTGCGTCGTTCTGCTGGTTCTGTCCGCTGGGCCAGAACCGGTCCTTCACCAGAACCTGCAGCATAAAATCTGATCTTATTCCGTTTTATTCTAGTGGAGGTGGGATGTAAACTACTGTAAGGCGTTTGGTAGGAAGTTTTTCTGTCATGTAAAAAATAAGTGAGCTGAAACAGTTTGTAATCATCTGGAGGAGCTTCGTCCTCCTGAAGGGACTTTTAACCCGTTTCTCCTGATTATCCTTCATGTTTTACAGCTTCTCTGTGAATTTCTTCAGGATTTTATTAAATGAACTCTGATGCTTCTCTTAGTCTTTGGTGAACATTTTAATTTTTAGC